CGCATATCAATAACAAACAGGGAAAAACACTCTAACAACTTGGCCGGACGGACCGACCTGCTCTGATACCACTATTGTAACACCCCCTTCTATACCCCCAAATAAATGCATATACAAATTTATCAGAGTGAAAATTTTAGAGTAAGGTATAAAGGAAGAATGTCACAATTTCACCAATGAAACACTTTAACATTTGCTCCATAAAATATGTAACATTTTCATGGTTTAGAAATCACATTTCAACATTTAAATTTAAGCGGAAGATAAAATCATTTAATCATTTCCAAAATATTAATTCACATACAGATAAGATATCCAGAGTGATACATCATGTCAGGTAATTACAAAACCACATCAGCTGATACATCGCAATGTATCACAAAAGAATAACTATACTAGTCTAACTACCCGATGTTACATATCAGAGCAGCCGACTCAAAAGAATGAAGATAACTTCACAAAAAAACTCCAGCATCCTAATTTGTAAAGCCTCATAGAGCATTATAAAACAGCAGAAGGGTGAGAAATATTACCATAATAATCAATGCATAAGATTATATATATATATATATATATATATATATATATATATATATATATATATATATATATATATATATATACAGGTATCACATAATTACATTCTACATTTCTCACCACAAATTCATTTCATAGTCATATTTATCGTGTTGTAAATATAAACAAATATGAACATACCCAAACATATCCCTTCATACATATTCCCCAATCATCCAAAACCCATCATATTCACAAGCATACTTCATATATCCATGACATTTATGCTATTACCACATTATCAAACAATGCACACATATCCACGATATGTTCCCATGCATTTCTCACAATTATTAACGATGCACACATATCCATGATATGTTCCCATGCATCTCTCCTAATTAATTAACCGATACACACATATTCACGATATGTTCCCATACATCCCCCACATTTATTAACCGATGCACACATATCCACGATATGTTCCCGTGCATCTCATACATTTATTAACCGATGCACACATATCCACGATATGTTCCCATGCATCTCATACATTTATTAACCGATGCACACATATCCACGATATGTTCTCATGCATACTTATCACACAATTGCATACAACATTAGGCATTCACAATTTATCAAACAATGCACACATAACCTCTATTATGTTCTCATGCATTTCCAATCAATACAAACAATATACACATCTCAAAACCTAGGATTCACGCCCGAAGGCTACCCACAGCATATCACAAATAAAACATCAACCTGTCATACTCGCTACTCCTTCGCTAAGCGAACTCCTAGCAAGTATTCGCTACTTGTTCGCCTAGCGAACGTGATGGCGAATCTCAACAGAAGTTACTGACTTCATTCGCTACCTGCTCGCTACAGCGAGCTTCCCAGCGAATCGTTCGCTATCTCTTCGCTACACTTTCACTACCAGCGAACACACCAAATTCCATTCTGTCCAAGTCTGGGACCATTCCCTACTTGTTCGCTGAGCGAGCTCCTAGCGAGCATTCGCGACCTGCTCGCCTAGCGAGCTGCTAGCGAGTGTCTGCGTATTTTGTTTTTCACTTACTGTTATCCAACTCAACCAACTCCAAAAACTCCAATCTCACCAATCCAATTCCAATACTCTTAGTCTAACATTTCTAGACTATTCTACATCATCTATTTCAGATTTTAACCGATTAAATTGAATTCTACCGATTATTCCAACTTTTGCCCTAAATGGAAAAGGATGGAAACTACACCAAAACCTCAACCCAACATATATAACATCATGCAATGATCAAATAGAAACATTTCTCACCCTTACCTCGATTAATCGGAGCTTTGGTGTTGGTTCTTGATGATTTTCCACTTTCCTCTTCTTCTCCTCTCTTTCTCTTCTTCTTTTTTTCCAAATGTTTCTCTCTAACTTTCTTTTCTTTTCCTTCTCTATTATATATTTCCTTTATTTTCCTTCCTTCCAATTTCCTTCTCAATTCTCTATTAATTCCAATTAATAAAAATTAATTTCCAACATTAATAAAAATTCCACTAAATCAATTAATTACTATAATTAATTATTTAATGAAATTCGGGTTGTTACATGATACATCTGCCAGTGTTGTGGCTCCCCTTCAGGCGTATCCTCCACGGTAGCGTAGACATCAGACGCGTCGACCACGAAGCAAGAGGGGTGGACAACGGCTCTTCGGCCACCCACTCTTCGACAGGGAGGACACGCTCGTCGAAATCCGGGACCTCGGGTTCATTATCTTCGACCATCGTCCCTGGTATCAAGGCCGACAGCTACACCTGAAAAGCAGAGGATAATGGTGAATTTGATAGCCAAGATCAAATCCACCCTTCCACCGCAAGTCAAGTGAAAGGGCGACAACGACGGGAGAACGACCAGCGCGCAAGCGCTCCCCGCCGCTCCTCCACGGGGCGTTCAAAGGCTAACCTATCACCCCTCCTCGGGGTACTCATCGGGAAAGGCACGTGTCCCCGGGGCATTCATCGAAGAAAGCCCCCGTCCTCGGGGCATTCATCGGAACAACCAACCCCCCCCCCCCGGGGCATTCATCCAAACTAAACCGCCAGATACGGCGAAACTCGCGTCTCTCCTCGAGGCATTCATCACGCCCCGACCACAGACCCAAATTAAACGGCAGAAATAAAAGGAGGGAAGAGAGAAACTCACTTGTGACGGCGGCGAACGGGAGGAAGAACTAACGGCGCGGCGGCGATCCACAACAACGGCGGACGAGCAGGAATCTCAGAGTTTCGCAGGTAAGACAGCAAGGTGGAAAGTAAAAAAATGAGTGGGGACCCCCATATTTATAACCTGGCGCGGAACTCGAAGCGACACTAGGCTCTTAAATGACCTAGGGTAGCCGCCCTACTACCACTCAACGTGCGACACGTGGCAGTAACCTGACGGTCGCGTCCCTTCATATACCTTTGCCCCGCTCTCCCGACGACAAGAAGACCCGCGCGCATGCACGCGTTCCACCGGGCACAAAATCGACGAGCCTCCCACCTCGCTACCTCTCTTCCCGAAGCAACGACCTTAAGTCCTCGCTCTTTCGCCACAGAGTTTCAACTTGGGAGGCTCCTGTTCTGGACTGGGCCCAGCCTCGCGGTCCAGCCCAATAACGCACAAAGCCCATTAAATGGAATAGCCTGGCCGGGCACACACACCCCTAGGACGGGCAGGATACGCTCCCCGCCGAGCAGGACGGCACGTCCCGAAGCGTCCTCGGCGCCCGCTTTTAGCCGAACAGAACGCCCCCGGGCCATCGGGCGAGACCACATGGCTCTTCCGCGTCCCCGCATGCTCCCCTCCGCGGGGAGAACAACGCGCCTCCGGGGAACCTCCCGAGCTCCCATCCACGGGGAGAACAACGTGCCTGCCGCACGCTCTCCCCGTGCTCCCCTCCGCGGGGACACGTCAGCAACCAACTGCCCACCTCCGAAATAGCAGGTCAAACCCACTTTCCGGAGATCAAGGAGCAGTTGGACTAGGGCGAAGACCACGTCCTGGTCTTCACTACGCCACGTAAGCCCTAGCAGTCATCTGGGTTGGGCCTGGCAATCCAGCCCAACGCAAGTGACCGTTGGCCCAGCGCTGGGGTCTATCTATAAATACCCTCTTCCTCAAGAGGGTCAGACAATTCACTTCTTACCCCAATTTTGTGCTTTGCTCTCACTCTGCCCAATTTCTTACTTTGGCATCGGAGTGTCTTGTAGGTACACCCCCCCTTCTCCTCCTCATCACCGGTGAACAGGTAGCAGTCCAACAACGTGTGACCGGCCCGTGATCCCCTTCTGATCAGGTCAGATAAGATACTTTCATAAGTAATAATCACAAAACCTTCTCAATTTTTTCGAAAGCCCGAAAGCGGAAATAGATACTTTTTCGAAAGTCTGAAAGGCGAAATAGATGTCATGTTTGTTTAACCATAAAATAATTGAGATATATTTGAAATTATGTGTGATAATCTGTCTTAAAGGCCATTATACACGACATTGATTTTGAATTTTTCACACAAATTAAAAAATTAAAAATGATTTTATAAAATTGTCATATATTTTAATACAAATTATTTTCTTAAAATAATTTAATAAAAAAATGGAAAAATTATGATCGTGCAAAAAGTATAAAGTGTAGCTTTTGAAAATCATGGTCAAAGATTGTCAAACTCTAGTTTTTAAACAAACTTATTTTATATATATGTAAATCAACTTGCAAATTCAACTCCAATTATACTAGTTTACCTCATAATAAAATATTATTAAAATTATTATAAACACAATAATATTTTAAATTTTCAACTTTATATATAACGTTTTGTTGCAGTGACTTATATATAACGTTATGTCAATAAACTTGTATAATTAAATGAATTACATTTTCAAATAATAAAAACACTAAACAACTTTTTAAAATTTAAATCTATTTAATTTTCTCAAAATCAAATAAACTCGAACAAAATAATTTTGGATTCTAACTGATTTCAGAGAGAATCTATACCGAAAAATGTAAAATCAACGTATAGATCCTTTGGTGAGTAATAATTTCCGTATCTCCCCCATGGCAATGTTATAGTTCACAACAGAGATACCATACCAGAGGTGTATGCAAAAGGTTAAAGTTTAACAGAATACCATCAAATAAGTGTGTACTGGTGTACATGGATGAAACTATAGGTAGTTATATTTTTCCATAAAAATGTGACAACTAATAATAATAACATGTAACATGGCTACACAATTCTTTCCAACTCAATATTTGTATCACAAAAGAGCTTCGTTGCACATTAGTGTTATTCATGCTTTCCATGAGATATTGAAAAAGACTAGTTTAATTTAATATATACATATTAAAAATTTGAATGATGTCGTGTATAAACATGAAACAGTTCAATAAAATTCATCCAGCTAATTTAAAAACCGTATAGTTGAGTTTTACCGCACCACGACTATGACCAGATGGAAACAATCCCATTCCTGTCTGCTGAAGCTAAGGGTTTTCCCATTCCACTCCAACTCGAACATAGAACAGAAGAAGTATGCTCCTTCAGAGTGCTTACTATATCACCTTTAGATATTGACCATATATGAACAGATCCATCAGCAGACCCAGCCGCCACGTGATTGTTGTCTGGGCTGATACACGATCGACTCCAATTAGAAGCCACTTTGTTTCCTGAAGCTCTTAATGTGCCGCAAACTTCCAGAGTTCGAACATCAAACAAATTGTGCAAATTATCCCTTCCACTTGTCAATGCAATATTTCCGTTTCGAGAAAGGGATATTGATGTGACGGCAAGCGAATGCGCAGCAACCTCGCTTAGTAGTCTTCCGGACTGAATGTCCCATAAACGGAGATTACCATCAACGTGTCCGGAGAATACAGTCTGCCCATCTGTGCTGAAGCAAAGAGCATTGCAGTTGCTGTGAAACATTATTGTATTTGTGCAGTAACCTTTCATCAAGTCCCATACTTTTATTGTACGGTCATAACCTGCACTGACAACATGACGACTTGAAACCTTGCTGATGTCAACAGCACAAACTTTATCTGAGTGTCCAGTAAGGGTATGACGGACCCGGCCCGAGTTCAGGTCCCATACATACAAATTGTTTGAGCTGCTTGCAGCAATAACAGATCGATTATCGTGTGTGATAGCAAGATCCAATACTGAGCCAAGGCAGCCATGAAGATTAGAGCTTACGGATCCTGTATTTGTATCCCACACTTTAACTGAACGATCCTGTCCCCCAGTAATCAATTTACTAGAATTGTACTCAAACAGTAAGGAAGCGCAACCTCCTTCATGTGCATTTAGCCTGTATTTGCACATGGAAGGGATGTTCGACTCTGAAAAGAATTCAGCACCTTCTTCACTTCGCCGAACAACTCCATCTACCTGTTCCCTTGCAAGTTGTTCTAGACCACTAGCTCTTAGCCGCTGAACCATGTCTTCGTACAGTGCATTTGCCTAAGAATATAAACTGAATCATTAGTTATATGCAACAAATCTATCTTGTGAGGAATACTAATGTAATTATCACATTGATTTAACTCTACTATGCACTTTAACTTTTGAATAAAAAATTACCAACTAGTAAGATTCAAATTTCAAAATATAAAAGATGTTCAAAAGCACATGCAAATCCAAGGTTTAGGGTTTAACTGCTGAGCAGGTAAATGACATTTGCCACTGGCAGACAAACTTAGTTCTAATATCCATAAAAGCTAAGTTTATATTAGCTTCTAGCTTGTCGTAGGAGCTAATATCCATAAAAGCTCGGTTTATATTAGCTTCTAGCTTGTCGTAGGAGCTCCTCAAATAAGATAACTATTTTAAATTTTAATTATTTACTTGAGAAAAAGCTCTTATAACTAATAAGTTTATAGGTGTTTGTGCAAAAGTTAAATAAGGAATCTTCTGTCCCGTTAAGGCAGCTCAGTTGGTAGCTATGCAGAGATATCAGATGTAGGGGCGCAGGTTCTAACCTACGACATCCTACTTGTTCACCGTTAAAAGGTGAATTCTAGACACTAGGCAACTTAACAAAATAAAATAAAATAATAAGGAACCTTCTGAAAAAATTGGGGGTAAAGATTGTAAAATCATTTCAACATTTTTTCTCCTTTAAGTGATGATTGAAAACATTTCACAACTTGTCAAAGCCAAATCCACTCACACAGAATGTCCAATAGTAATATCTAGTTCCAAAACTTGTATGGTGAATGAGAATATGAGAATGTTATATACCTCGTTTATGCGTTCAGCATCCTTCATTTTTTCTAACATCCAGCGGTCAATCAACATCTTATTTTCAGCTTCAGCTTTATTGGCCGTAGTAGTCACCTCCTTCAGTTGAGATTTAAGTTCTGAATTCTCACACACAACTAATTCAACTTCTTTAATCTTTTGTTCCAAATCTGACTTTAATTGAGCGCACTCATCCCTACAATTTGTAACATTAATTCAAGCCACAATCATTCATCAAAAACCTAAAAATAAACAAAAATTAGTGGCTGTTACAAGTTACAACAAAGAAGAAACATCAAGTAACCTCAATTCTGTTAACTCCTTCTGAATATCAGCAATCACAGTTTCTTTCTCTTGAAGCAAAGCTTTTGAAACTCTGGATTCAGCTACTTCCGTAACGAGTTGCTCCGACAACCGAGATTGAGCTTTATAGCATTGTTGAAGTTCCAATTCCAAGTTCTCCGTTTTCTCTTTCCATTCAGAGCCCTTCAAGAACATAAATTCAATAAAAACTTTCCAATTGTAACACATAAACAATGATTCAAACAACAAAACTAATACCTATATCAAACAGCATTCACAAATATGATATTATCAAGAGGCAATAACTATGCAGAGTTAAAAATAGGTAAAATTGTTCATAAGCTCATAACCATTAAGCACTATTCTATTGGAACCGATTATTGAACAAATTTCTCATAACCCCACAATAAAGGAAACAAAAAAAAAAGGATTTTTCATTGTGATTAATAAATAAGATGATAATATTCCCTAAAATTAACATGAATTTTGTTATAAAAGGGTACCTGGATAATGATGGGTCTTGATAGTGCGAGAATAGCAGGAGCATGAGCGGCTTCTTCGAGCAAATGGCGTTTCCGAAGAGCTTTCAAAGCATGATTGATTGCTTCAATCGCAATCTCTTCTTGCGATTTGCAAGCTTTTGCCATTACTGTGAAGAACAATCAAACTACTGAATAAACTAGTTCACCTCTTTGTGGTTGGATTCCAGGAATTTTAAGAAAACGGAGAAGATTAATGAACACTAATTGATAATTTAGGATCAGAAACTTGCTCTAGGGTTCTTATTCGAATCGTAATAATAATTTTCAGAAGATTAGTGAGACCTGAAAATAAGGTCCCACGTCAAACACAATTTTCAAAGTTTTCATGATCATTATAATAAAAACAAATTCTCATCGTTAATTACAGTTATTTTAGCCTTCCTAGAGCCAAAAAAATATATGGTATATAAAAATATTAATCCTTAAATTCTTGGTATCAAGTTTCTCAAATGTTCGATTTTTTTTTCTCTTCATTTTATCTCTAAATTTGAGATTTTGATCGGATTATTATGAATTTTATGGTCCAAATCTATATACTATCAACAATTATGATTTATTAGCTTATATCTATTGTGAGATGTCCGAAAAGAACTAAACAATGTATATGAGGTTGAAGATGTGTTTGTTAGTTAAGCGTACTCACCATGTTTCGTTATATCTTTGAGGATGAGTCACTCATCATACTCAATAGTTGAGTGTGATCGTGCAAGTCATAATTGTTTATGTAGCTTTAAGATTTATAGAGTTCGCTAGCCACATTTTGATATATCTTAAACGATGAGTCATCCATTAGGCTCCTTAATGGAATATGGTCATTCATAACTCATAAGCACGATTAACAGGCTATAGACTCGACATAGTTCATTAAGGGAGAAAGGCTACATATGTCTACTTAAAAGATTATGTCAAATCTATTATTTATTTACATATCGCAATCCTAAAAATCTTTTGTTTAACATATCGCAGGTAGGGTCACTATCATTATACTCACTGCAAGTACATTTGACGCACATTGTGGGGTCAGGTAAAACATTATTGGTGTGAGTGCTACTTGTATTTTAAATGATGTCAAACTAGGATAGTGTGGTGTTAATATATATTGGACGGTATCCTCTTATTCTAGACAGGCATCTTAGAATTAGGATTCATTAAAATGGTTTGAAAGGGATTTTACATCATACATGCATTGAAAACAATGCTTTTGTGAAAAATGCATTGAAAAACAAGTTTTTGTGAAAACAAACCCTCTTAGGTCGACACAGACGTGTTTAGGTCGACCTATAGAAGTTTGAACTTCAGTATAGGTTGACACATAGCCATCTTAAGTCGACACTCATGCATATATATTAAATCCTTTAGCCACCGTCTTTAGGTTCGCCTCACTTAGGTCGACACAATACCTTACAGGCCGACCTGAGACCTTCACGGACGATCTGAGTACCTTGATAGGTCGACCCATTGCTTTCATAGGCCGACACATACGATGCCACTTCTCAAAAATCTTATTTTTCCTCCATCAATTTGCATTCCTTTTGATTCATATCTCTCATACATATATATATACACATACATGCATCATTTTCTAGTAACGTACTAGTGTAAAACCTAAATGAAACCAGAATTACAAAGTAAACTCATCATCTTTAATCTCTCTTCTATGCATACACACAATCAAACTATACATAATCATTTTTTTGATTGGGTGACCATCTAGATTAGGGTTGATAATATCCAATTAGGTTGGTGTAACTAAGAATATTGGGTTGGGTTCTTTGTGTGTTTCAAATAAGAAAACCAAGTTGGGGTTTCCTTAAAGATCATTGGGATTTGAAGGTTTTGGACAAGATCATGCAAATACAGATTTGATCGGGTGAAGGCCTTAGGACAAGGTAGGGTGTACCTTGCAAGGGAGTAGCGTGAGACGGAGGATTGTGTTCGTGAATCTTGGGTTCAACAAGTGCGTGCTTGGGGTTAATCTGACCGAGCGAAAACCATGAGACGAGAGGTATTGCAAGGTACTAGCAAGAACGGGTGAATTGAAGCGGCATTATTGGTGACTTAATCAAACTTTGATCAAGGGTTTGGAGGTGGTAGTATCAACAACAAATCATAGGGTTTGTAGGGTTAGGGTTATTCATCTCTTGTATATACATTATTAGCAAAGTAAGGTTAACTGCAACTATCTCAGTTCGAATTCGAGTTGAGGGCAGACGTACCCATAGCGAGGCTGATTAGAGAACTACCTAGACAAATATCTCTCTCTCTCTCTCTCTCTCTCTCTCTCTCTCTCTCTCTCTCTCTCTCTCTCCCTCCTTATATACACACGCGCGCGCGTGCACACTCACCCACATACACATACACACATACACACATACATACACACACACACACATATATATAATTTTTATTTTTGCAAATTATCGAATCTTTTGGTGTTTTGATCAATTTGTTTGGAAATGAACTTTTTGATTAAATTTTCAATTACTGTTTGTTGATATAATCATAATCACTTTGATTGTGATTGGCTTTAACATCAACAAGTCAAACTAAGTTTCCAAACGTTATCGATTGCACTCAAGGTGTTCAATAAATTATTACAATTACTTTTAATTTATCATTAATCATTGGAAATAAGATCTTTGTGTAGCTTAGAATTTAAATGCTTGTGATTAATCATTGTTGAACAATTTGTGTTTAGTATCATTCAATTGTGTAACTTTACGTATATCCAAGCTTTTCGATAGTAGGTTCGGTTAGACGATTCGATTCGGGTTGTTTCCATTGTGCCATAAAACTTTTGAAAACCATTTTTGCCAAAAGTTTGCTTATAAATATGTGATTTATTCACCCACTCCCCTCTAGATCGAATTCTATCATCTAACACTTGGATCACATCTTTTTCCAGAGCTTTCAATTAACCTGACCACTGTTTCACAATGGTGAGCACAAAAATTACATATATTAATGGAGACCAAGAATCCCTAACAAAGGTGCAAACCACTATGAAAGAATTATGTCGCCAGAACTAAACTCTGCAAATAAGCACTCATAACACCCAATAACACCCACAATAAGATGATGAACAACTATAGGATATAGAGGTTTTTGATCCTCTAACCCCTCTCTACTGAAATCTAGGATACCTTAGTCTCGAAAAACTTCAAGTTGCCCCCCTCTAGTGATATTTGACATAAAGAGTAATCCTCGAGAGCACGTCATTGTTGTCAATATACATATGGAAAACATAGGTGCAACATATTATTTGTGTAAGCATCTCTCAGGAACCTTGAAAGTGGCGGCCTTGCGCTGGTATATGAACTTCCCCGACTTCTCTTTAACCAGCTATCAAGATTTGTCAAGGGACCTGGTCTATCAGTTCTGAGCAAGTAAGCACCACTAGGTGTCCATTACAAGCATATCCAATGTGCGTCAGGGGCATTATGACTCCTTGTGTGAGTACTTGGCACATTTCAATGAAGTCATCATCAAGGTGATAAACCATAATCTGGAGATGTTTGTGGGAGCCTTTAAAAATGGGATCAAATTCATACATTCCAATGAGTCTCTAGCCCAAAAACCTTTTACTTGATCCAAGTTGCAAGTGCACGGCAATACCAAGTAGTACAATAGATATCGAATTACAGGGAGATATATTTGATTATCGATTTTTATTCTAACTATGTGTAGCTAAAGTCGTCAAAAAGTTGGGGATTTTGTGCAAATAAAGTAAAATTAACAAAATAACAAAGCAGGCCATGGGGCACATGAAATCTTATCTCGACATGCCCAATTGACTATTCGAACCGAATACGAGAAAAACACAATTAGTTGTAGAAAATACACAAAATTTCTTACACCACCTACTTTAGTAGCGTGTGTACTCTCTGAAATGAATAATGTGTTTACTTTCGCTAGTTCGTATTACACATTTGAGAACTCGTGTTTTAGTACATATATACGGTTTTCTCAACCAATAGAGAGACGTCTTGTTAGTGGCATCGTTACTTGGTCGTTTAGCAATCCGCTTTTGGATATTGATAACTAGCTTTTAATACATGGTCAATATCTAGGTTGCCTTTGCTTTTGCAACCGACACAATTATGTTTAAGTTCTCAGATTCTAAAAAAAAATTTCTCGTTATTCGTATAAGGAAAATTCAATTTTTTATGAGATAGGTCTCACGGCGCCTTGTCCCTAATGGACTACTAACTCATGGTGAGATTCATTGCAAATAAATAAGAAATAAACATAGCATGCAAATTCTAACAAATAAAGTAAAGGCAATAGCAATGCAGATGATGAATTTGTTATGAAGATAATAACTTAAGATATAAGAAGAAGCTCCGAAGATCCTTACATGCCCTTACAATAGAGTAGAAATTGCAGCAAAATAGCTCACCAAAAACTTAGAACAAAATCTCAAATGCTAGAAGTGAACTTAGAAAAGAAATAGTAAAGCTTGATGTCTTTTACAAGAATCTTATGCCTATTTGTAGTATATCATTACATTCAAGTCCATAAACTCGTGTAAAAGATACTTAAGATCATTAAGCATATGAATTGGAACAGTTTGGAGGTGCCAAAGGTCACAAAACGTCCAAAACTCCAAGAATTTGTAACTGATGTTGGGCTGAACACGGGAAGTGTCAGGAAACACTGTATGCCAGTGTTGTTCTTTGAAAAATAGAGAGGGAAGTCCAGGAACAACATGGACCATGTCAGGGAACATGACTAGCTCGTGTTGTTCTAGATTTTAATATATGGGTGAGATTCTAGTAACCAACACGACCCGTGTCAGCTAACACAGTCAGGTCGTGTTGTCTTTAGGTTTGGTGCACTAAGGGACTTCTCTTCTTGCACTATTCATTCCTTTTTCGTTCTGCTTTGTCTTTTGGAACTTCTTATTAACTGAAAACATAAGTGTCATACCCCAAATTTGTCCTACCCTGTATATAACTTGCATCTGTATATCCATCCATCAACTGTTATCCAGAAAATCAAAAAATATGTTGCTTTTGTTTGTTGTTCAAGATTGGATCCAAATTGATCCAGGAAAATTTGGCATGCTCCAGAGGGATCAGGTTCTCGTGTGGTACTAAGGTCTT